CAGGTCAGTTCAACAGTGACTTGTGCAACCGATAATAAAACGATAAAATTGTGAACTCCATTTACTTTTGCCTGAATTATTGCAAATTGTGGTCCGCTTCGCATATAATTCTCTTAATTCATGAATAGAAAAATCATTTACCACGTATGGTGATTGTTGAGCTTCAGGTTCTCATATTTTCCTCATTGATTGCATCTTAACTGCCGTGTGTGAAGACGATAGAACAGAATCTAGATATCCGGAGTAGTTTGTTCAAGTGAGGATTCTCTCTGTTGCTCAATGATGCGTGTATCGATGGAGCACGATCCATCGATGTCCTTTTTCAGCCTCTCAAGGCGTTCCTTATGAATTCTATTCTATTACAGGATCATGCGACGCACGTAATCAACGGTTGAAGCGTTGATGGCGTATTGTCCATCCATCAACGGGAGTATGACCCGAGGAGTTTTAAGAGCGAAGGGGACGAACACAGACGCATTTTTTTATTACACACTTTCGTGTGATGAACAGCAGACGGGGTGGAACCCCATAATCTCGAGGACCTGCTGTTCAGTGATGGAAACCGGTAACCTTAGCCCCGATACTTGGAGTGGTAAACCACATAAGGCCCCGATAGGTTGGGTGTGGTATTGAACCGGACGAGTGTTATTGGAAGAAAATACACGGCAATGAATGAGTTTATACAGGACGCATAAGTTAGGACCTGGGACATAGAGGGTCTAATCGAAGAAGGATGCAACATTCCATATAGTTCAGAGGCGATAAGTAATCAATAAGTTCTTTGATGAATGAGCGCTGGACGTTCTCAATTTTAATTCGATGTGCTTTACACACACCAGAGAAAATGATGGGACAGTTTTCTAGATGCCGTCTGGCGAAGGATAAGTAGGCATTTAGTATGCTGTTTCTTAGTTTGAAGGATTTTCTTATTTGTTTGGAAGGAAACGTGTTCACAAAACCGTTTGAGTAGCGGAGCCCAAGATCATGCACAGACGTGCTGGATTGAATAAGTGATTGATTTGATATGAGGGATCCGGGTGGGACTCAACATCTGTGTGTTGTGTAGGTTGTGCTTTTTAAAGTCGAAAAGTCCATCATCCACAGAGTGCATCATTCGTCAAGTCGCTTTAGGTCATCGTTGATGTTTTGCAATGTGGTGGCAACGTTTTTGTGGTGGAATTCGTAATATATATATATCAACGACCTGCCACAATCTTTCAGGTCAAAGGTTCTTTTACATGCTGATGACGTCAAGATTTGGAGGAGCACCCAAAATGAGCAGGACAGAGACTTCCTGCAAGCAGACCTCGATACCATTGAGAAGTGAAGTATACTGAACGATCTAATCATGAACCACGCGAAGTGCTACGTGATTCATCTGAGAGGAGAAGCGGTAAGCAGATACTTCCTCCAACCAATGCCTTTAACAGTGGTAGAGCAAGTTAACGATGTCCGGTTCATCCTAACTCGGAGAAGTAACTTCTCAAACAACCGTGTCGAAACGGAGAAAAAGGGAAGCTCTATTCAGCACCTCATCGCCAGATCCCTTGCCAAAATGGAACCCTGATGTTTGAGGTCAAAGTACAACACGTACGTACAGCCGCAACTAGAATATAATCTACAGACTTGCCGCCCTGGTACTGACGTAAGACAAAAATGTCCTCGAAGCAGTTCAACGTAGGGCAACTAAAAAAGTTGTAGGTCTTTTCAACCTAACGAAGAAAGATTGCAGTGGCTAAATCTAATCAGTCTGTCTCACAGACGTCCACGCGGAGACCTGGTACTAATGCACAAAAATGCGACAGTAGCAGATCACCCAAGAAAGGAGCCACTAACTCCGTCATCTAACCAGCATTTACGGGGTCATTCGATGGCTGGCCAATACCAACAAGTCTGCATAGTGACGAAAATTCACTTAGGTGGATCAGTTAGCAGTCTGTTACTGGCACGACCTGTTACACCCTGAGTCACTTATCATTACTAATATTAGCCCCTTAGATTCTCTCTACTATTTATCTTTTTTCTGTGTCCACATTAGTTAACCTATCTTAGTCCGTTTCAACCGGTTAGCATGGATGCGAAGTGCGGCAACCAGCGGTGTAAAAAAGGCGTCTCGGAAGGAATACAATGAGATACGTGTCTTAGATGATTCCATCTTCTTTATGCAGCGGTTGGTAAACAAGATTGCTTGTTATATCAGGAACGTGCAGAGAGTGCAAGTCGCGCATCCGCGAACTCATTAAGAGGGAGAACCCAGCAAAGGTGTCCCGAGATGTAGGGAAGGGATGTAATAGGGCAGCGTTAGTGTCTTCACTGGGGGATCTAGATCCCAAAACGGGAAAAAGTATTAAGCAAGATAATGTGGTCAATATTGATCTCTCCACCAGATCAGAGTGCAACGAGACAGTCGTACTACACAGCCAGGCCAGAAAACCGAAGGTATGCCGGAACCCTTCATGAAACAGGGGCGGAATGGAGAAAATGGAATGCGATACCACGTGGTAAACCTCTTGTGATTGGCCGAAATACCAGCTCATGCAGCGGTCAAGCGTGTGATGAGACTTGACAAGTGGCGCGGTGTAGATGCCGTGAATACAGGAATCCCAAAACCAATCTTGGTGGAGCTCGCCAATCCAAGGCATAGGGATGGTCTCCTGGCAGCCGCTGGGATGATACGGGATAAGACTGCTGGAGGTATCATCATAACCCCAGACAACAAACCCATGCGGCCGATGATTGGAATGGCCACAGACTACCAGTCACCAGGCTTCAACATCCCCAGGATAATCACCTCGAAACTACCAGCACCAAATTTGAGGAGCCCCATATATATACATATATATATATATGCAGCCTGGTCATATGCCATTCGGACGGGATCAAACGTCCAAGGTGCCCAACAAACCTCGATGACCACTTGAGCCGGTGGCCACTGCTTCAACTGAAAATGTGTTTGTGGTTTGTACGCCGCCATGTGGTTGGTTTAGAATCAGGGTTTTTGGCCAACTTCCCTCGGTGAACCAATGGTCCACCAACCCAGAAGTCGGCTTTTTTCATTTCACTTTGGTGCGAAAACACCTCATCGAGTAGGGCTTCCTCAGTTGAGGCAATTTGAGACGCTTGATCATGCAAAGGATGGGTGACCAGCCATAACCCTAGACAGCCATCCCTGACTTTACTAAGACTTTCGGGGGCAGGTACAAGGGGAGGTTGGCACATGGGAATACCGACTCCAAAGCTTCTTCAGTTACTTGCTATGGAAGATTGCAATGAGGGAGGCTGTGGGATGTGTTAGAGAAGGCGATGGAGTATCAACCATGAGAAGGCAACCACCCTGTACCACTTCTATCAGAAAATCTAGGAAGGGACCTAGTTTGCACAGGTCGATCTGCTGGAGATTGCGCATAGCTGACATTGCCATGGAACGTAGAAG